TCTCAAGAGCTTCTGTCATCGTATACTTGACGAAGGAAGGGCTTTACTTGTTTGTGGATTGGCGTTATGCTCTCTAGTTATAAAGCTCAATAGATATTTTTTTGATTAAAAACACAATTCCCACTAAAAGATGTGAAAGATGAAAGTATCAGAGATTTATGTAACACTTGCTCCTTCCCGGTGATGATATTTTTCAAGACATTGATTGATTAACTGTGATTCCAAAATTGACACTCAAGCACGAACCTTTAAATTATTATCAATATAAGAGAGGGTATCACTGGATGTTTAAGCAAATTGATTTTCAAGATTCTTACAAGTTCAAAATGGTTTTGTGCTACCATGCTTCAAAATTTTCTCTTTCTTTCAAGCCGAGGGTCTATTGGAGACGGAAACAACCTCTCTACCCCACGAAAGGTAGGATTAAGGTCTGCGTATATCCTACTCTCCGCAAACCCCACTTGTGGATCACACTGGGTATGTTATCGTTATTCTTAACTAGTTCAAAATGAAAGAGGATCTCATGGATGAAAATTATTCTTAAAGAAGGCCAATAGGATTTTCAACATAGGGAAAAGCAACCAAACAATCAATGTTAGAGCACATATACATTACTATGTAGTTTTCACTTAATATCCAAACCGACAACGGAGATGCACAAAAGAAAAAGTAGTTGCTTCATGAGCATGATATGCTTAAGCTCAAACGTTTTTTTGTAGTGAATGGATGATAAACATATCAGGTGATCCCTCATGGTCACTCTCTTTTTTCAACTTTTAGTAGGTAGTTAATGGACTACTTGAAAGGGAGGATTGGGATTCTGCAATAAAGATGCCTCTTGGAGTAGTACCTGCAGGTTTGTCTCCTTTCCTCTATTGCTATTTTTTTTTTTTGATAAACACTAAGCTGGTTTTGCATGTTTTGATTAGCTTTTTTTACATGTTTATACCACATAGAATTTTCAGACAAGTAATGAAAGGTGCAACATGCTGCCACACATTTCTATTACCTGTACATGTAGGCTAGACATTCTCTTAACACATGACGTGTCAGCAAATATAAAAAAATTCAGGGATAGGTAAGTTAGACACGATGCAACTTGTTCCAGCAACAAAACATTAGTGTCAACTAAACAATCCTTTCACCTCAAGGACTTTTAAGGATAAGTAAGATGCTACGCAACCTGTTCCAGGGAGAAAATGATGGTGCAACTAATCGATCATATATAGAGGCTGAGAATGGATCATTTTTAAGCTTTAGTCTGTTGTTTCATACTAGTTTTAGTTTATATGGCGACTGGTGGGAAGCCGAGCTGTTATGTCAATCACATCATGCACGCTGTTGTTTGGTAGAGGTTAGCTGGATGCAGTCAGTTTTTCCCCGTAATATTACATAAGTACCTCCCTGATTTGTTTGGGAAATAAACTGGGATAAATATCGGTGGAATTAATGAGTGTAAAATTGCCTAAACACTTGTAGTTTTTATGGACTACTGTTTGGCTCATGTTTTAAGATCGCTCGTCACTGGAATTCGACATTTTTTCGGATCAGGCCTGGTTTTCTTTATTTGTCATAAGTTCCTAATGCATTGGAAACCACATAAAATAAGATGCGTGATTTATGAATTGTTTTTTCTAATGTACTAAGTGATAGTTTTCAAAAGTAAACATATTAGAATTAAGGTTTGGAATCATAATTTATATCTCAACATATTATTGGATGCCATGAATGCACGGACAGTGGACACCAATGTTTAAAACATAACTCTCGTTTAATCAAGGTTTGTACTTCCAACAAAAGGAATTCACCAAGCTAATGTGTATTAGTTTCGCTACGCATTATGTCTAATCTTGGTAAACTAGTTTTAACTGTTTGAAGATATTTGGCTTCTAACTTGTGAACTCAGAGCTACTTCGGTGTCTAATGATTTTGGTTTATGTGTGCCTTCGACATCATTGGCTTTTGGTTGATTTTTTTACATTATGATTTGCATGGTCGTTGGTTAGTAACTTTTAGGAAAAGTTTAGTATGTAGAAACCCTTTCAGTTTCTTTATAATTGTGAGTCATAATGTTAATACAGGCACCGGAAACGGCATGGCAAAGTCTCTTCTAGATGCTGTTGGTCTTCCTTGTACTGCGTCCAATGCAACACTTGCTATTATTAGAGGTGGAGAATTACTAGGCTTTTGGAAGAAAAAAACCTGTAGTTTCTGCATGGTGAAGTTTCAATTACTCTTTCTTTCTCAATTACGGCTAAGAAGCTTCGTTTCTTGCAGGGCACAAGCAATCACTAGATGTAGCTACTATTACACAGGGGCAGAACAGGTTTTTTAGTGTGCTGATGCTTGCCTGGGGTATTACATCTTCTATTCTTTCCTGTGGTTTCAACGACACTGATTTGAGTTCGTCCTATAATTAAGTACTTAACGAATCAGAATAGACAATTATAGCTGATATTTATATTGACTCTGAAGATTTCTTGTTTTCCAGGACTTATAGCTGATATTGATATCGAGTCTGAGAAGTATAGATGGATGGGTAGTGCTCGAATAGATTATTATGTACGTTTCACGTTCTGTTTCTTTGATTTTCGTGATTGTTTCTTACCTCTAAATGTCTAGTTGGATTTTGTTCGTATCATCATACAGCTCACACTGCTTTAAGGCAGTGGTACCGGGTACTTTACGTACACGAGTTGTCTTAACCATCATCATTATGCTTCTTAATCGCTAGTCCGATACTATTTGGCCAGGCAATACAACGAATAATTCGCCTTAGGAGGTACAATGGTTGTATAAAATTTGTGGCTGCACCAGGCTATGAAACTTTTGGAGAACCAGCTGATCCGGAAGGTGAAACTATTAGTGAAGTTAAATCGAGTTTCGCTCAGCACAAGGGATATTGTGGTCCTGCTTTGCAGATGAAGGATTTCAACCGTAAGATTGAGGGGCCTTTTGTATCAGTTTGGCTTCATAATGTACCTTGGGGAGGTGAAGATACTCTCGCAGCACCCGACGCCAAGGTTGGTTTTTGTTAGTTTGAACATAACTTAATTGGTTCCTATTAGTACATCTTTTACTTGAAAGGCGGAGCCTTTATATAACTAGTAAAGTTGTAGCCATGCGATTAAAAGGTCAAGGGCTCGAGTTGTAGAAGGGTAAGACAACTACGTACAATAGACCCTTGTGGTCCACCCTAATTATACCTTGGTACTTTTGCAGTTTTCAGATGGTTACTTGGACTTGGTCGTGATAAAGGACTGTCCAAAGTTAACGTTGCTATCATTGATGACTGAGTTGAGCAAAGGCGGCCATGTAAAATCACCACATGTCTTGTACTTCAAGGTAGGGTTATCGTTTCATCCTTGAGCTTCCGTTTTGCAATCTCTCATCTCTTAAACAAACTCTTTGTTTTTGTGTTACTTATTGAAATATATCAACGTTATTTCATTTGATTAGTTAATTATTTTGTCTCAACACACCCCCTTCATGTGTTGTGCTGATTCTTCTTCATGGACCGAACTCATGAAGTATCATTTGATTTTGGTGTGACTATGAGATATGAACCACATAATACCTCTTTTCTGCTCTGATACCATGATTATCGTCAACCCATTTAGTTAATTATATATCGTCTCAACAGAACTCCGTGCATGCTATGTGTTGAAACTACTGATAAAATGTATGTTCAATAATTAATTCGAACGTAAAAATAAGGTTGTTGATTATTGTAAAACAAATTACAGGTTAAAGCGTTAGTTCTTGAGCCTGGCACACAATTAGATGATGGATCAAAAGAAGGGATTATAGATGTAGATGGTGAGGTTCTTGCAAGAGGTAAAGGAACTTACAAATCAAATTACAAGACATTGATGACATATGGCAAACTCCATATAAAAGTAGATCAAGGGTTGGCAACTGTTTTTTCTCCTAGTACCATTTCATAAAAAAAAACATTTTTGGCTGTATTTTTCTCTTGAAGGAGATTTTTTTTTTTGTGTGTGATTAAACAAAGTCATGTATATACTATCATAATAAAAAAGGGTAAATAAAAGAAAGAATAAAGAAGTATTAAAACACTGTAGGGCTCATTCGGGGGTGATGTTTCCAACATGATTTTCTCCATCCTTAGGGCTCAAACATGAAACCTCCGTTTAAGGGTGAAACAATATTTACCATAATCATGTTGGTTATTAACAGTGTTTTTTTATTTATACAGTGTAGTTATCTTTTCTTTTCTACTATTAATAGTAGATTTTTGTTTGTATACCTAACGTCTTCCTCGCTTGATCTAAATTTCACATCTCATCACCAATATTCATTGATTTATCTAGGAGATTTATTACGTGTCACCAACCTCGTCCGAGTATTTATAATTAGTGAAGTCTCATAATAAACACATGACTTTTTGTTTGTCAAAACTCCAAGTACGGGTCGGGTCGGGCCCTACACCATGGCCTCCATTTTCATACTAACCACGCAAATCATTGTTCATTGACACTGATATAGTGTTGGCACGAGAGAAACAAGTGTTTTGAATCTTTTGATGTACCCAAAATTTTGACTTGAAAATCGAGAAATTTTATACTCTCTTCGTTTCAGTTTATTTATCTTAAGAAACAAGTTTTTTTTAGAAACTTTTCGATTTTTTTTCACCTGACATGTTTACAATCACAAATTTAAAAGACATCTAGATACATTCCACATATCTTTATTTCAAGACCACAAGATTCAAAATTCTTTATTATTATCTTAAATTTTATGTCAAGTCAAAATCAGACAAACAAAATAAAATAGAGAGAATAATATATTAATTGAATTTTCATTTATCCCAAGTTTAACACTCTTTCAATAAAATAACATTTTACAATTCTATATACACAAACTTTTGCCCTATTTGCACTATTTCCCCCTATGTACACACACATTCACAAAAACAAAAAAAAATCTTAGTTTTTTGTTGAAAAAAAATATAAAAAACTTTTCTAACCAATAAATATAGTATAAATTGCTAAAAGTTAACTTAAACTCCACGATTAATCATCTCCGTGTATTGTTGTAATGATTGTTCTCTTTGCAATCTCATTTCTTCGTTGAATTTTTTAATAAATGCTTCAACTCGTCGGTTTAGCTCATCTTGACTCGGTGACGGTTCAAGTGCTTTTTTTATGTTTTGAACCGGGGATTCACTTCCCCGGTTCTGGTTCTGATGTTGCCATGTGTCTAACTTGTTCAGGTGCCTCGTGAGAGGCACGTGACGCCCTTCTGTTATTTTCTTCCATGTACTCTCTAATGTCTCTTGCCTCTTTACTCTAGCCACCCCTAGAGATTTCACCCCTGAAAAATTCAATTATTTACTAAATTAGCCTTAAACATAAGATGGAATAAATCGACAACCTCTTAAACGTGTATATTTATTTAGATACTTGAATTATGATCAATTTCAATTGAATATCTATATGTTACATGTCAAAAACATACCTCGAAACACACATAAACTCTGGATTGTTCATTTTTTCTATCTGAAATTTCATTTATGAAACTCCAACAACTAATAGTTCATGTGTGTTTACGTGATATTTTAGATAAGAAACTCAAAAAATCGAGATATTTTAGGTATGAATTTTGATCTTTCACTTTGAACCTAAACACATTATGGTTAACTTATCTATGTCATAAACGTTTGAAAAAGCGTATATTCGGATGATCAATAGGAACAGAGTAATGTAATAAAAAAAATTGATAGATTTTTCGTACCTTCCGGACTCGTCCTCATCAGCGGTTTCCGATGACTGAACCTCGAAGAAACTAGTGGTTTCTCAGTCGTCAGCCGTTGAATTAGCTCCGTTTCTACTTCAGGCAACGGCGTAAAAACCGAATTCGAACTCACAAATTCATCATTTTCACCTTCGTCTTCATTCATTACAGTCACCATAGACTTTACTTCAACCACCTCCGGCGGCTCAATTACCGGTTCATCTACCAGTCCCGGCGCATACTCACACATCTCCGATCTGGAAATCGATACCAAATCTGAGTTCACCGGAGGCGTTCCGGCAGAAATCAACGGCATCACCTCAAACACCTCCGGTTCATCAACCAGTTCCGGCGCATACTCCAACATTTTAGATCTGGAAATCGTTAACAAATCTGAGTACACCGGCGGCGTTCCGGCAGAAATTAAGGACGGCGATTGCTCGCCGGATTGTTGTTGTTCCTTACGATTTGATCGAGAAGTAGCGGCGATGATGATGATTATACCGTTGAGTAAAATGTAGAGGTACGGAGGCTTTAACCATGAAATCAAACCGGACCAAATCGTAGGAAATTCATATAAAATCAACGGAGCAGAGGATTTAATTGCAATGGCTGAAGAAACTGCTCCGATTGAAATTAACAGAAATTTCACCGTTAACATCAAATTGCTCGTTGATGATTCCATTTTCTTCGATTTCGTTTGATAATTCTTATCAAAATGGTTGTTTATGTGTGTGAGAATTTAGAGTGAAGAAGATTGAAATTGCAGAGTTTGTTGAGAGAAAGGGGAGTTGCTACTATAAATAAGTGGTCAGAAGCATGCAACTGTTTATTTTTGGAAATTTAAAATTTTAATTTATTCAAAATATTTGAGAAGTATATTAAAAAAATTGATTGAACCTTCAAATTAAATAAAAATATAAATTGAGGACGTGTATTTTATTTGATATAATGAGATATGGGCCGTTGGATCAAAGACAGTAAGCAAGGGAGGCTTCTTTTCTTGTATTTTTCTCATTAGTAATTTGATAGTAATATTTTACTTTATTCATGCATGGATTTTACCTAGGTTAATTTCTTTATCACAATATGATATTATAGTCAGACGCATCTTAATTCATTGATTACATAATATCAATCAGGGGCGGAGCAACATTAGGCTTAGGGTGACCAAGAGGACACGCTTCGTCAGAAAATTACACCTTATATATAAGTAAAATGATACTTTGAATGGTTAAATTAGACATTTTGAACACCCTTAAAACAGTGCACTGGATTAAATCGTCCAGCGAAAGCTGCTGGACACGAGTTCGAATCTCTGTTGCCTACACTTTTTATTACATTTTCAAAAAAGCTCCTAATTAATTTTTAAATCATAATTAATAAATCTGTTATTTTTTAAATAATTCAAAACTAATATTATCTATTAAAATAATCCTAAATTAGAAAATTTAAGGGAAAAAAAAATTTAGTAGCCAAATTTTTAATCAATTTGACTTTTGATTTTTTTTTCTTTTCATTAATTTAATAAAATTTAAAAGTAATTATTTAATTTAACGTTAGTATATAAATCCTATTTTTTTTATAAAGCTACTAAAAGTGAAAAAGACTCCATGTAAAATTTCTTATTTTAAAAAAACTCGTTCTATTCTACTATTTATTTTTCATGTTTGGTTGTTAGCCCTCAGAGGTTTGTGAAATCTTGAAGCATAAAAGTGATTTCATTCTAATTAAATTTTCTCTTTCTCTTTTATTTTTCTTTGTTAGTTCACTTCCTATTATGTAAACATGAACATTAAGCTAATTATTATGTAGTTTGATTTTAAAATTTTTGGTATATTTTTCAATTTTTTTTAATCCTTTATGTAATTCTTGGGCATCCTTGATAAAATTCCTGGCTAGCCACTGATATCAACTTTCATTTCATATTGTCTAAACTTCAATGTCTAGTTTTGATGTGTGACGAGGTGTTGAGTTTTCACGTCTATGCTTAGGGGTAAGATGGTTTCTTTTTATAGTCTTGAATAACCTTTGCTATATGAACTAATTTTTGGCGTCGAGTTAGGTATAAGATTTATTCTTTATCAATTATTAAGAGACATGGAGGTCATATTATATGATTTTGAATAATTCTTATATTTCGTGTTAGCTTTGTGATTAACTTAGGCTTAAAAGTTTATTTCTTTAACATGGTAGTAAAATAGTTAATTTATTTTGTGTATAATTATTAATTTAGATTTGACCAAATCAAATTTTAAATTGAACGTATAGTGGGCGGAAGATGTGTAGTATTATTTGGGAACCCGTGGCTATGGCTGCGCCGATATTATGTGGACCGACTTCTGGTTGGCTGCCTTCGGGCCGACAATTTGACTTTTTGTGCACATTGGTCAAACAAAATACAAACAACTATTATTATTCATATTATTTTTATTCTAACTTTTTTAAAAAAAAAATAATTTAGTTGATTATAAAGCTTTTAAGGGAAAAAAATGGATTTCAGAGTCATAAGATAAACATGAAAATATTAAACATAACTTTGTTTCAAATAATTTGTATTTGTATTTGTATTTGCAAGAAGTCATATGATATGTTTAAACATACCTTTATAACTAGGGAGATCAAACATCTCCTAAAAGAATAATCGGATACAGATTTATGATTTTAATTCTAAGAGTTTTGATTATTTTTTTAAAATGTCATATTAGGTTTTGAATAAATTATTTATGTAATGTAAATGAATTTCAAACACAAATACAAAGTTAGGTAAAATTATTGAGTTGTTTTTTAAAAATAATCTTTTTACCTCATAAAAATAAGAATAATTTATGTGTATTCTCTACTTTCCGCTAATATTATTTGTGGGACTATACTAAATATACTATTAATATTGTCATCGTAAAACTACTAAGTTATATTAAACGTCTTGACAGATTTATATATCCATTCCTGAAATGTTCATGGTTCAATCTAGGTTAATTTTTATTATCCTGATAAATTAAAATTCAATGAATGTATTTGGTATTTATACAAAGTAAAATCAAACAAAAGTGGAATTGATGTTTACTTGAGAAAAACAATAATAAATATAAGCAAAAAGTCAAAAGAGATAGAGGGCATTAGTGATCTTTGAATTCAAACTCCAAAACCAAAGCATCCGTGAGGCGTTTTGTTCAATGGGTGCTCGCGAGCATTATATATCAACTTTTTTTAGTATTTTCTATATACATATACAAAATTTTCGTCAAGGGTTAATGGGTGCTTGAGAACCCGAACCTCTATACATGGGTCCGCCCCTAATTATACACAAATTAAAGTAAGAAGGTATACTAACTAACTAATTATATACAAATTAAAGTAAGAAAGTATATTAACTAAAGTTTTAGCTAATTAATGACACAATTAGTTGGAGCTAAAATTTATAATGACTATATATGTTAGAAGAACACTTAAAGCGTGAGCGTGTCACTAATTATATTAACTCTTGGAAAAATCCTTTTGGCCATAATGGTAAAATAACATATTTCACACTATTTTATTTTATCTTTTTGAACATTTCAATCATTTTAACTTTAATATCTTTTAATTAAAAAATGAAAAAAAGACCAGTTTATTTTAAAATAAAAAGGATATTATAGACTTTTTAATTTTCTGGCCAAATTCTGACCAAATTTTCTGGTCATTTAGCATTAAAAGGCTATTAAAATAAGAAAAAAATTTCCATTGAGTTATGAAAATATAGTCCTCTTCAGTAGGAGCAATTTATTTCTAGGAATGGAGTCTTCTTTCTGATCCTCTAATAGAATTTCTATATAAGTTATTGAATCTCTTTTGATATAAAATAAAATTTTAATGAATAATTAGTATTCTTATATATTGTTATTGATTAATTAAATATTTTATTTTATGAGGATATTCTATAACATATTATTGGTTTCAAATCCAGAGATTAAAATGAAAAGGGAGTTATCGTGAATCAATTGATAACAATCTCTATTTCATAAAAATAAATATAAAGCTGCATATATCTTTTATTTTACAGAAACTCCACTTATACAGTTAACTCCTATTAACTTGGTACAACAAAATAATAAATTAATTGAGATGTGGAATGATAAGTGATTAGGTCAAATAAGAATAGGCATAAGTTGAATGTTAACTCATTAGTTTAATGTTAAATAATAACTTAATAATTGATTGGACACCTTATTCCAAAATTGACCCAAACAAATGTAGGTACTAGGGGCTTGACTTATTGTAAGTAATAATAAGTTTGGCCAACAAATCCATACATTTTTCAATTAGTATTTGATAATCGTTTTGAATTTAACTACTTCAGATTTACATAGGAAAAATTTATTTTGAAAGTAAGATATTTTCGATCAAAGACAATTTTATTTCAGGATTTAATTTCAAGATATTTGACTAAAAATGTAGAAGTAGTTACCATTTCATTGCAATCTTTGGTGATCGTATATGATGTTGACTATTGATATAAGTGCAATCTAATACTTTCTGTATCAATTTATATGCCATACTTATATCTAAATAATTTAATTTAAACTTTTTATTTTATATTTAATAAGATGATTTATAATCTCACAAACCACAAAATCTAATAAATTTCTAAACTTCACGTGCAATCAAATATCATCAGATAAATTGAAACTAAGAATAATAGATATTTGAGATTTGGTTGTTGTCCAATAGTTTCTTCCTCTACAGATTTTCAAGATTCTTTAAAAATTCACATACCTTAAAAAAAAATCTAATCCAATGTTGGATTAATTCAAATTCACGTCAGGATATTTCACTTTGGGTAAATCGCCTATTCAATACGACTTTATTGAAGTGTTAAAATACAGATATCCATAAAAATCATATTAATTTGACGTAAACATCAGGTGCGAATACGTTTTTCCATATCCAATGATGTAGAGAACCACATTTTCAGTTTATATCTAATATATATATATAAAAAATTTGTATATAACATGGACCAACCAATAATTCATTGTACACAAGTATAGTTCCCCTGTTATGCTCAACACCTATAAGAAAAAAATTGGAGAAGTTTATGTAACAATGTGTATACATTTACAATATTTGCAGATTCTAAATAAATCGAAAAAAAATCGCAATTAATAATCGAGCAGTACATATAGTTTATCGTCTTGATAACATTTGGTGTGTTAACGATGAAAAATCATAATTATATCCTGATTGCATTGAAACAACAGGAACTGTTGGAAAACTTGATAAAGGCCTAATAGCTCCTGTTGATGCTGTTCCATTCATTGGCACTACTTGCATTGCAGAAAACATACTGCAAATTCGAAAAAAAAAAGTTATTGGCTTATCGTATATCTAGTCAATGTATGAACGATCTATATTCACGAGCAAGAAAAGAGATCGAACTCACACACACATGAGAATTGGGACGCGAGGATTGATCCAAGTTATTAGTCAGAGCGAGTTTATATCTCCTATGTTAAATTGTTTTATCTTCTAATTTGTTGTTACCGCTCTCCGTTTATGACTGGAAGAGCTTGTTGAATCCTGGGATATACATAATCATTTTTTTCACTGTGTCATGAGTGAAATGTCCTTTAAGGACAGTGTACTTGACGAGGGACAAGTGTAACATTTTGTAATGAGCTCTGTGTTTCTTTCTTTCTCCTATTTTCATGTTTAATACCTCCTGAAAGATCATTATCTCTCAGCTATTGATTCAACATCATTTTATGTATAGATTAGGCTTTAAACGGTGCCTAAAGGAGAGAACATACACATGGTCTCAACAAGGAGGAGAATGCGCGGTATGAACAATTTGCAAACCTTAGATAATGTTTCAAGTACCTGGGATTCATAGCATAGGCTGGTGATGTAGACGCGTGTATATATTGAGTGCCTCCCATCTGGATGAAACGTCGGGGATAAGTAAGAAACAATGCTTGATTAAGGATTATTAGAAAGACTCGTTCGATTCGATGGACTAACCTGTTTAGCCCCATGGATCTGAGTGCCAATGCTTCCCCAGTTTTGAGAAATATACTGGTTACTGTTTGATGATTGATAGGCGGTTTGTGAACCGCTGAAATGATTCATCGTAGCAGGCATGAGCTGAGGCTGATGTGGAGCTAGCGACGTTTGTTGCTGCTGATGGACAGAAGAAGGACAATCCGTGAGGGACTACAATGAGTAAAATAGATAAAGAAATGAAATTATACAGAGAAAGGAAAAAGGCGTAGAGGATAATAGCACATTTGCACGTTTTAACAGTGACTCGCACCAGATTGAATGTCTACGATGGGCAGGATCGATTCTGTCAAGTATTAGCTCAGTGCTATGCCAGTAGTCAGTGGCGGAACCAAGATTTTCAGTAAGAGGATTCAGAATATAAAGAAGCAAACACACGAACAAGCCAAAGGGGATTCCCCAGTAGTGATTGGTATAACTGATTGATTTTGCAATTATAACTAGAAATGACGAAGGAAACACCTCGTCGAAGAGATCCATTACCTCATTAATCACATTGTTCAAGGGGTTTGCTGATACCGGCCGTGTATTCCATTGAAAATCTTTGATCAGTTCCTCAATTCCAGCATCAAATTTGTTCTTGTTTTCTATAGTAGCATTCTGCTGGATTACTGCTTTTGGTTCTGCTGCTGGAAATGTCGGAGACGATGTCAGTGGTGAAAGATTCAAGCATCTTACATCAACTATTCTAGTCAAGTTATTTGATAGATGCAAGTTCTGAAGAGTAAACAGTTGAGCATAATCAGTCGCGGATCCAGAGAGTAACGGGAACCAGTAGGTAAGATATCTATAAATATTTGACTGTGGACCTAATTTGTGTTTTATATGAATTTGAGATCGCGTATAAACTTCAAATCCTGGATCTGCCTATCTGCATAATGACTTCCTCTTTACTCCACACAAATCATTTAGATAGAGGAACATACGCTGGGGGCTTGCAACGGACTGTGTTTTGGAAACTGATCCATTTTCTTTCGTGGCTTCTGTATAACTTTTAGAAACACTAGCAGCATGGTTGATGGTAACGGTTGATACAGTTGGGGAGAGACCCGGCTTTGCTTTTGCGACTTGAGAGATTGATGGTTCTACATTTTGAAGAACGTTTTCTCGGGGATCAGGAGAAACCTGTTAAACATGTCTAAACATCAGAATCCTTATCTATCTTGAAAGTATGAAGAGAAAGTAAAAAAACATTAGTTATTCAGACAGCGACGGATTACATTAGCTTTTGGCTTTGGTTCTTCCACGGAGGCTACCGGTTTTGCAGTCTGAATAACTTCTGGTTTGGGATCAGGAGCAGCCTGCTAAGAACATTGAAAACCAACATTTTATCAATTCATGCTAAGATACTCTCTCCGTTTCAACTTGTTTGTCTTACTTTCCTTTTAAGTCCGATTCATAAAGAATGCCTCTTTCCAGCTTGTTTAAGACCACAATGCTCAGAAGTCTTCTTTATTTTCTTAAATTCCGTTTCAAGTCAAAACAAGACAAACAAATTGAAACGGAAGGAAGGGAGTATATAACCATCCAAAATGATTCTAAAAGTTGTATTTACCAGCTGCTTAGGTGATTCGTAAGGTGCATTATGTAATCTGTTCCTCAAAGCAAGCGTTGTTCTATCTGCATCCGGTAATGGAGAAGATTTCCTCTCTTGAGAAAACGACATGCTCCGCTTGATAAACTCTGCATCCCTTTCAGTCTTAGGTTTACTAGCCGAATTACGTTCTCCTCTCCCACCAGGAGATGATTTCACACTCCCATTTCGTAGTATCCATTTTTTCTCCACATATCTAGCACATTCACGGTATTTAGTAAAGTTGATCATGAAATGAAACATTTCCAAGTTCAGGTGAAGAAACTAATACAATAATAGTAAGATGATTCGGGGAACGATTAACTATGATGTCATACTTTGCTCGGATAAAATTTTCAATACCAACTCTGTTGGATTTGGCAGGCAGCTCGGCTTCCCAGTAGCTATTCGATTTCTGATTTCCCATTGCTAAAAGCAAGAAGAAGTTAAGTTATTCAATGAGAAGAAACAACTGCTGAAAATATAATACGAAGAAGAGGAAAACACGGCTGGCTCACTTTGAATAAACGCAACCTGATCTGGAAGCCAAGTATCCAATGTAGCAGATCTTACCTGCATACAGATAATGCATAAGTTACATCGACAGGTTATGAGAAAATGTCTAAAATTTGAACTCAGACTTCAGTATGCAAATGAACGGACGTGGAAACAGTAAATATAATTTCTCACAAAGGTTGTGATCAGTCGCAATGACAAGACGAAAGCATAAAGCTAAAGAAAGCAAAATGAAGCAGAGCTGTGAAATCGACACCTTTGATATATGTACTCCAAGACTCCTGTGAACACCGGAACAATGCAAGCATATGAAGATTCCTAAGTTCACACTAGCCCATCTTGGACCTCTGCATAAAATAAGTACTCAATAAACGACTTTTGAGTGTGTCATTACGTTTATAGCTTTCATTTTTTCGATGAAAAGAGAAAGCACATTTGTTTCTGTTTCATTTCTAGTCCACGTTACTGATAGTAATGCTTGTAGATGTACCTGGCTTTGCAGTCAGCACATTCTCGATTCTCTGGCAATTTGAGTAGTCCCTCAAGTATCTGCAAGAAAATGAGAAATTTCTAGCTTCTTAAAGGGGAAAACAGAATACTTCTAACTGATACTTCTAACTGAATATCTGTTACATACGCGTTCTCTTTGCAATGTAACAACAACTACTACTATGCCTCCGTCCCAAACTAACTGAGCGTGGACATTGATCATGTTACGTACATGTTCTCTTTGCAATGTAACAATAACTACTACTATGCCTCCGTCCCAAACTGACTGAACGTGGACCTTGATCATGTTACGTACATGTTCTCTTTGCAATGTAACAACAACTACTACTATGCCTCCGTCCCAAACTAACTGAGTGTGGACATTGATCATGTTTCCATCTACAATACCTATCGGAAATCTACCTTCAAAGTCGTCTATTTTGAAGATAGAGAAATGCTTTAATACAACCACATTACATATCACAAGAATATGTATGAGTACTACTCCCTCCGTTACAGTTTGTTTGTCTTACTTTCTGTTTTAGTCCTTTTCAAAAAGAACGCCTCTTTCTTTTTTGGCAACTTGATCATTGATTCTGACTTTCCACATGACATGTTTAAGACCATAAGATTAAAGAACATTTTGGTACATTCTACATAGTTCAAAGGTCTTCTTTCCTTTGTTAAACTACGTGCAAAGTCTAAACCAGACAAACAAATTGAAACATAGGGAGTATTAAAAATCCTCTTGGCAACTCAATCAATATCCAGCCTCAAAATTCTGTCTCAGTGCTGTCTACAAAGAACTACCTTTTCCCAAACCAACAGCAGCCTGAAATAACACTTGATAAGCTACGTTGCTCTGACTCTATTAAAATAATGTTGCATACATGTCGAATCCTCCAAGAAATGCACTACTTTTGGAGGATCCGACACACAAGGACTAATTAGAGCTAAGCACTAAAATAAAGGACACGAGAAAAATTGAATATGATTAAAATTCCATTTACACCTAACATTGCTATTACTTATTAAACAAGTAAAAAGAAAATCCCTCAATGACCTTCTCAACACATATATACAGCTGTGTACAGCCACAATATAATTATTTGACACAACATTTTTGGTAGATACGACCAAATTCAACAAGAAATATGTATATACACGAAACACAGACTTTTCAAAAATATCTCCAGATACATATCAAATCCAAAATTCGATATAGTTTATTTATATATTTTAATTTATTGGACAGATAATGTGGTCTATCATGCTTAACCAACCTCAGACATGTCAAATTAATAAGACATGTATAAATCAATATCCATTGAAATACATATATATATATGGCAGTCTGTCAAGGAATAATAAGTCCAAATATTAAAACACCTACCTGTCAAGGAAAGTCAAATAACAACAACAACAACATATATATCAGTGTAATCTGACAAGTCAGGTCTGAGACGGTGGTGCGTATGTAACCTTATCCCTACCTACCTTGTGAAGGTAGAGAGGTTATTTCCGAATTTTTGAAACACTATTAAAAGAAAATTCCCCAAAATACCAGAAAAAACTCATATTTTTTTTCTTTTTCAAGAATGTCATATAAAAGTTGTTTAACTAAAACCCCATCAAAATTTAATCAAGAAAGCAATTTGTTATTAATCCCATAAACCCAAAAACGTCCTTTTTTAAAAAACTAAATAATCAAAGAATCACATCAAATTTACTTGAATAAGAAAAAAAACTCAGGTTTCTGAGCAAAAATAATACTCCCTCCCCCTTCGTTTCAATTTATGTGGCGAAATTTGACTTGACACAAAAACCCGAGTTTTATTGGTACATAATCCAACAATCAATTAACCCCAGAAAAAGAAAACTCCAACAATAAAATGATTAGTCATGAACATATATGATCTACAATTAAATTTATGGATTAAACAAAAGCAAACTTGAGTTTCTTTCTAACAAATTCTATAGCTAAACAATCAATTCAAATTAGTAACAAATCATCAAAAAAAAAAAATCTAAGTAATCTTACAACATATGTACAAAACAACATACTAGTGTTATCTCGAATAATGTGTACACAAACCTTATATCCTATTTTGAAAGGTAAAGAAACTATTTCTGATAAATCATCGACCTCTCTTGCAACATATGAACAAAACAAAACCAAAAAAGGCCAAATTATTCAAAGTTACCTTTGTATGTTTAGCATTAAGCTCCTTTGAAACTCTTGATTTCTCATTCATGTTGGAATTAAATCCCAAAAAACTATAAAAAAAAAAATTTCTTTCTATTTCTAATATTTGGAGAAAGTAGAGAAGAAGATGAAGAAAATTTGAAAGTGGACTACTTTTTTTTTATTTTATAAAAAATAATAATAATAATTATGAATTATAAAATCATATATTGCGGCTTTATATTGGAATCTTGCGCGTGGAAGAGGACGTCTTTGGTAGTTATTCTTAGTTGGAATTTCCATGCATAAACAAATAATTATTTTTATTTTATTATTGGAGGTGGGGTCCACATTTTATTTTATTTTACTTTTAAGACAAAAAAAGTTATTAAATAAAATAAATATTTTTCTAAATAAATCATAAACTGATAAAACACCATTGATTATTCGATTGATACAGGAACCGGAATAGATATTTTCTGATTTAATTGATTCAATTCAATTCTCATTCTCATCCTCAACGAACTCCTTTTAAGGATGAAAATATTCAAACCGTGTTTTTTTTTATTACTCACTCCGTTTTATTTTATGTGAGGTAGTTTGACTCGGCACGAAGTTTAAGAAAGGAAGAAAGACTTTTAAAACTTGTGGTTCAAAATGAATGATAGAAATTTGTGTGGCGGTAAATCATTTCATTAAGGGTAAAATAGACATTTTATAGTTAAATTGTTACTTAATATAGAAATGTGTCATTCTTTTTTGGACTGACTAAAAAGAAAAGTAAATCACATAAATTGGACAGAGGGGGTATTATTTATTGGAATAGCAATATATGTGATATATAGGTAAGTCAAAATATACTCACATTACACTTTTTCCATATATGTTATTTCCTTTTATTTTGAATAATATTAGTCATTTTGATCAATTGAATGTAAAAAGATAAAGAAGTGATTTATTGAATGTATCTAAGTAAATGGAGTACTAATTAGGTAATACCTTTAAGGGGAACATAAATAGTAGTTTAGGTAAATATTAATAATTTATCATAAGATATTTTTATACACTACAAGAAATCGGACCTTTAACCATATAATTATATATAAAAAGAGTGGTATAAATTATAATTATTTGAGGGAAGTCCGCAATTTCATTTTAAAGTTTCGACTAATTCGATTGAAAGGTGAAATTGATTTTTATTTTTCTGACTACACATCAATAGTAAAAAGAGTAATAATTAAATCAATAAAGACTTGTTACATATACACTATAATGAAGGAAGTTATGATGTATTATCTTTTTCTATCAATGAATTTAAGAACGAAAAAGGCCTAAAATATCCTTAAACTATTGGAAATGGTATAAAATTACCCTACATTCACCTATTGGCTCCCAAATACCCTGTCATCCATCTTTGAGTCCGATATTGACCACTTTTATAACGGATTATCATTTAAATATTTTTTTGAAATACGTGGCGACCAACTATTGGATATATACATTTTAATTACTTAAATTAATTTACAAACTCACTCATTATTAATTATACACAACCCAAATTAATCACACTTGAACCAAATTAATTAATTACACGCGTCCCAAATTATATTTACCCACCGATTAAAACAAATACACCCTTTATTCCCAACATTTCACTTCCTATATCAACCTTCTTTCCCAATATATTTGCCTACAATCTCAAAAAACAATACTTAAATACACATGTATCACCATAAGAAATTACCAAAACACTCATAATTTTTTATGGTGATACATGAGTGTATTTAGGTAGTGTATTTTGAGATTGTAAGCGAATATATTGGGGAAGTAAGGTTGAAAGAGGAAATGAAATGTTGGGAATAAAGGGTGTATTTGTTTTAATCAGTGGGATAAATGTATTTTGGGGTGGGTGTAGTTAATTTGGGTCGGATATAATTAACTTGAGTCAAGTGTAGTCAATTTGGATTGAGTAAAATGAATGAATTTGTAAAGTAATTTAAGTAATTAAATTGTAGTCAATAGATGGTCACTAGGTATTTAAAAAAATTATTTAAATGATAATCCTCTATAAAAGTGGTCAATATTGGACCCAAAGGTGGATGAAAGGGTATTTGGGAGTCAATAGGTGGATATCAGGGGTATTTGAGAGCCAATAGGTAGATGTTAGAGGTATTTGGGAGCCAATAGGTGGATGGAGGGTAGTTTTGTACCATTTTCAATAGTTCAAAGGTATTTTAGGCCCTCTTCAGATTTAAGAATCATTATTTGAGATGTTGAAAAAAAAATCTGAAAAATTGAACTTTACAATGGAGCTTTTCAAGAATATGAAAAGGTATCTAGTTCCTTCTTGTAGCCCTTCCTTTTTATATATACAAAAAAAAGAAGAGGTTTTTGGAAGAACCAAAAGCTTAGGTTTGGTCATTGGTTTGTAAATATTATTTAAAGGAAAAAAATATGTAACGTAATAAATATTTATATTGTATTTATGATACATATAGTTGTAATTTCAAAAAATATGAAACGTAGCTATATTTTGGGTATTGTAGTAAATGTATACATGTGTTGATACAATTCTTTCACGCGTTTTTAATTGATTTTTGCTTGATACAATTGATACTCATCGTTTGAATACAACTCTTTAACTCATACAATTCTTCTGTATGATGTAATAATTATATTTTTTCATAATTACACTTTAAATTATAGTTATTTATGAAGTTTTCTCTATTTATATTCAATATAATATGCTGATTTGAATATTATGAATTTGAGTTTAATTTTTTTTTTATATCCAATATAATTTATCAAATTTAAATCTGTTATTTTGTATGTATTAAAAGAAATAATTGCATATATGACTCACTAAGGTGGAGAAATGCTTCACACTTCACAACATGATGAAGTGGAGAAAATATTATAGGATGTGATGGGAAATATTCTCATGATCAAGAAAAAATGTATCAAACAATTTTTTTTAGTTTTTATTTATTGATTAAAGCATCTAAAAAATATTTTATGAAATTATAATACAATTGTGTTGTGACTATTATGGAAAGATATTAAAAGAAAATGGAGGGCCTTGTAATGCTTGTCCTTGACAAAGGGCAGGTTAAGCAGGATTTACAATGAAGATGAGGTGTAAATCCCCCTTAGACGAATATTTCACATATTGAAACGATAAAAAATGAAAAGTTTTATAAGAATCATTCGAATTTATATAATACAAACATTATTAGAGTACGATATGAAAAAAAACCAAAAAATTATATGTATGACAAATAATACATGTTATGAACTTAGAATAAGATACTGCCAAAGATGATTCAAGCAAAGGGATTAGTGTCAACAATACAAATGCATAATGACACAACAATATTATTTGAATTCCAAATCATGTTTCACCCATAATAATAATTAAGAATATGACAAAAGAATAAATACAAAACACACCTAATCATGATTTTTGAGATTAGAAATAGTGCCTTGACTATATATTACAAGTGACTTTTAACATGTAAATGAATGAACTTCTTCTATAGCTAATCATCTCGAGTTCTTGACTGATAAATAATAAATAAAAAAGAATTTATATATAAAGTATTTTGCATTCACGTAAAATTAAAGAAAGCCTGCATTTCAAGGGATGTGACTCATAGAATGAAAATCAATTAATATAAAATCGTTGAAGAAGGAAAAAAAGTGAAAGCTAAACAACAAAAACTTTGATAAGATTTTGATATTTCATCCCCCAATAAGTCTATTTCTTAGCCCTGTACAATAAAAATATGGGGAATTGTATCAAAGACAAAGTTTACAATTTTTTTTAAAAAAAAATTAAGCCCTAAAAATCAAACTTAGATTTGCGGAATAGACGTTAAAATTTGTTAATATGAATTCCAACACTTTCTATTTTAAGTTGGAATTGCTAAAACCTAATTTCAAGTTTGAATGATAGTTCGAATCCCCAACTTCAAATCCAAAGGGTAGTGCCCTTTAAAGTCGCTTTTAGTAGGTAACGTTTTACTTCTAAAAATTAATTTTTTGTCGAATTCAAGTTAGTTGAATCCTAAAGAGCGCAAAAAACAGACAATAATGACGGGATCTCCGTGAAGAAACATCTTGCCTTCCAAATTTCTCTAACATTTTCAAGAACCATGTTGAATTGATGATCAAATTGCCCAACAAGTAGTGTCTATTGACTATTATCCAAGCAATTGATGATTACATTTGTGTAATTCTTAACACACATCATTAGGACACAAATGGGCCATTTTTGTAATCCTCTTCCTCAATGTCAATATTTCTATTTGGGCCATAATTGTAATCCTCTTCCTCAATGTTTCTCATTGGGCCACCCACTTCCATTGGCCCAAGAAATTCAAGAAATTGGAATGGGCTCATGGTTCACTCTAAAGCCTCCTTCCGTAAAAGGACGATAAGACGTGACTACAAAGAGGAAGTTGTTCGGATGGTAGACTGTTCTAATTTTTTTTTTGATGTGATAGTGATATTGTATCGATTTAATCCAATTTAAATTTAAAAATTAATTAAACCAACTTTTTAAAAAACACTTGTTTTGAGAAGAAAGGTGTTAAATTTTCCCGTCAAACATCACCATATAAATTGAGAGAAAATAATTAAAAATCCCATATACCAAACAAAACTAGTAGGTGACATATATTAAATGCAAAAGGGACAGGACTGAATGTTAGATGATGAAACTTAATGGACCATGTTGTCTCCTTTAATAAATGAAATCCTCATCATGAATTATTTCCTCAATTGAAGTATAGTCTTGAACCCTAATTTAAGTTGATAATTTTGAAAAAAATAAATATTTATCATCTACTTTTGAACGAGTTTGTTGCTTCCAAATTTGGTTGTCAGAACTCGGTGTGATATCAATTCTATTTTCACATATTTTTTATAAATACTTAAGGTTTGAAAATAGTGGAGTGTAAATGGAGCTAAGCTGATTTTTGACACCACCCCAAGCTCTCTTATCCGTCAATCAACTAATTATAAATTTAAAATGATGAAAGATTAATACTAATGAACGATGTAAAGCTCGAGTAACTCGTAAAAAAAATAAGTTTTGTCCCCGAAAATAACACCTTTTTGGTACATAACTACTTCTTAACTTTAAACTTTCCTCATTTTTATCCTTAATAATAATGTTTTCGTAACCATAGAAATATCATCACTTATTTAAAGTCACAAGTTTAAAAAATATAATATTGAAAGGTTTTTGTTATTAGCAGATTAAAGATCTCGGATACATAATAAAATGGAGAGAGTATAAATGAAAGATAACATGTATATGACAAAGTATAACTAGTCATATTTGAATTGTGGTGGAATGGTCGGAGTCTCTCCACTTTTAACTAAAGATCATGGCTTTGAACTCCTAGAAATGAAAATGGCTGGAGTTTCTCCACTTTTAACTAAAGATCACAACTTTCAACTCCTAAAAATGAAAAAAAAATATGTTGGGAATGTCACTTTCAAAAATAAACTATGTAATACGCAAATTCAAATTTAATTGAATTTCAACGTGAATAACGAACCTCAAATTAAAAAAAAAGTCATTATTATTATACAAAAGACAAAGCCATTAACTGAAATCATAATTGGTTTGTGTCATGGACCAATCTTTTCATTGAATTGTCATGTGTTTGAGGAAATTCAGAAGCTCATTAATTCATTTCTGAAGTTGTTATTATACTCTGTCACACACCATTCATAGCCAATTGACTCAACAAGCAACACCCAAGATAAATTTAGACGGATTCAGAATTTCAAGCTCATTTTATTAAAGATCAATTATAAAAGTTTAATTTGGTTGATTAATTTAAATTACACCCTCTATGCCTATATAAAGAGAGTGTTTTCTTTCAAGATTTTTTTTATTTTCAGAGCTCAAAACTCATTTCTGATCAATAATAGAGATAATTAATGAGTTAATAAATTGTTTTGTATATGGATTTAAGATTTTTATATTGTCTCAAGGAAATTGAAGAATTAAAAAATTAATGAATTCGGAATAGAAACAGTTCATATGTATTTTTTTTAAAAAAAAATTACATTTACAAATAAGATTTAAGCCATGTGAAATTTCACCTTTTTTTTTTACTTTTTAAAAACTTTCAAAATATTAATTATTAAAATATTATAGTTATATAAATTTAGAGATTTAAAAGGATTAGATCAGATCTAATTATATGCATTAGATTAATCCAAGTCAAAGTTTTTAATTTAAAGAATGGAGTTCCCCTATCACTATATTTACAATATCATAAGGAGAGAGATCTAGTGCCACCAATCACAATTAACACAATATTTATGAAAGCTAGTATTTCATCTGCAAAAGAAAAATAGACTTTCCTTTCTATTTTTCATCCATGGTCCGATATTTGTATTGAGATCCGATTAAAAATAAAGAGGCGCACTTAACAAGATTTTTTCATTTTCAGGTACTCAAACTTGAAATCTCTAATTAAGAATAAAAAAATCTATATTGGTAAAAGAACTAGACTCTAAATAATAACAAAATAATTTCAGTCAACTATTAGAAAATTACTTCTAACATTTTCAAAAAATTAAGATATTTTTGTAGTTGTTATGCCAAACAAAGTTTAGTAACCAATATTGTACATATTGTTGTATCACTTGTTGTTGTTATTCTCATTATTCATTGTCTGATATTCGTATTAGGACTAAATAAAGTTTACTTTATGAATTACATGGCCTATTTTTTAGGACGGCACTTTCAATTATTTAAAAAAAATCGAACTCTAGACCTTTAATTAAGGATGGATGAATCCTAATTATTCCACCACAATACATACATATCAATTTCATAATTTCACATGTATATGCTCCCTAATCATAAAGCTTACCATTACTAAACCCTAATCATTTCTTAATTTGAAGAGACAATACAAATTTCCCTAAATGGACACTTAATTTCTTCATTTTTTTCCCCATCTCCTATGGTTCTACCCCTACCCCTACCCCCATTCCCCAACCCTACGCTTCATTTAAGGTTGAGTTCAATAATACTTTTCAATTTTTTTCATGTTTAATAGATTAAATTTTTTGAAAAATATTTTGTTCAGAAAATAATTCTTTTTAAAAATAAAGAAAATAACTTATCTGATGAAAGTATAAAAATAAGTTCTACAAATGACATTTTATATTAATTGAATCATCTTAAAAAAACTTATTTTTTTAAAATAAAAATAACTCAAAAATATTTTGACATGTCAAATATGAAATAAAATTAGATTCATTTTAAATTAATATTATTTATTCATTTATTAGTTATTTGTTGCCAACCCCATGCAATTAATGCAAATCAATATCATCCCACCTGTCTATACATAATAATAATTAAATTATATAGATATAATAATAGATACACTTCATTGACTATCATTCTCATCCATTTCCCTCCATTCACTCCCTCCCAATTCTTTTTCATCTTTCAAGTTTTAAGTTTCAAGCTTCTATTCAATCATCACCAATTCATTATTTCATCAATACTCAAATATGAGTTAGATTACGAGGTTATGTATCGATCAAATCGAGTCACTCTACCTGAAAAAATATATAGTCTCAGAGTTTTCGCCCAAATTTTACTTGTTTTTTATAAGCTCAAGCAACACTTGCATCGTCAAACTTTTTTCTTCTTTAATTTGTCGATCATCCAAAAAAAATGGGTTGTGTTCTTAGTTCTACTAAAAAAACACCATCAAATTCTAACACCAAATTACAAATCTCAACTACTCATAGATCTCCACCATTAACCCTTCCATTTCTTGAACAAGAAGAAGAAGTCAAAGAAATTCTATCGGAAACTCCAATTATTATCAATAACCCCATAAACCATAGTATTAATGACGAAAAAATTAATATTCTCGAAAAAAATTTCTCTATCGAAAAAAATCAGTCCCATAACATTCATGATACTCATGTTTTCAAAATCGCAAGAATTTTCAATCCTAAAGACGAACTCTCCCGGGTCGGGTCGGATGAAAAGGAGATAGCTCGAGAGCCTAGCAAGAGAATCCGGGTCGGTTCAGACCCGAAAGAGATGACCAAAGAACTCAGTAGGAGCATCCGGGTCGGGTCAGATACGAAAGAGACGATCAAAGATCTCGGTAGGCCTATCCGGGTCGGGTCGAATTCAAAAGATATGATCATAGACATCCGGCAGAGGTCTCCAGCAAATTACCGGAACAATACATCTCCAGTCAAAAGATCGGGTAACTTATCCGGGTCGGGTCAGATCCGTAACACATCTCCAGCTAGAAAGTCTGATCATCTATCCGGGTTGGGTCAGGTCCGTAACACATCTCCAGCTAGAAAATTCGATCACCTATCCGGGTCGGGTCAGACCCGGAATAACTCTCCGAGTCGGGTTGGGTCAGGAAAGAATATGGGCGGGTTATCAAGAAAAGATAATGGTGAGTGTTCAGGTAGGAGATCAAGGTCACCGGTGATATGTGGAGATCAAATTAGCGGAGGAACGAGGAACAGCATAAGTCGATGCCCGTCTACGAGGAAATCCGGTAGGTCACCGGGAAGGGTGAGATCGGAATTGGGTGACCGGCGCCGGAGTCCGGCGGAAGCTGGAAATGGTAATAGAGAAAATAATAATAATTACAAGAGGTCTTTGACAAATGGAAATAATGAATCTATTGAAAATCCACTTGTGACCTTAGAATGTTTTATTTTTATTTAAAAAATAAAAATAAAAAAATTAGTTGGAGATTAATAATTCTTGAGAAAAAATTGTACCATAATGTTAGATTGGATATTTAATTAATCTATGTTATTTTTGTTTATGGTTCATTTTGTTTGGTATTATTCTTATTATTTAGTTTTAAGAAAGACGAATGACACATTTTTATAATTTTTTAATGACAAATTTTTGTCATCATATAAATATTAGGTATATTGAAGACCACAAAGTACGTGCATTGCTTTTATGGAGTTTATGAGTCATAAACTAAAAAATTTAAATTATCTCAATTTTTCATGTATACTCCCTCCATTCCATATTGATTAAATTGTTGAGACATTTTTCATTTTTCAAATTAATTTCATTGTTCAGTTTTTAAGACTACATTTAGAGTGTTCTTCCAATTTTACCATTCATTAGTTAGTATTGGAATTAGTGATTAATTAATATTTAGTTATTTTAATCATAAATTTAACAATAATTAATAAGGGTAAAAAAGGAAAACTATGTTCAATTTATGTCTTAATCTACTTTTCTTAAAGGGTATGAAAAAGCTCAAAAATTCAATTAATATGGAATGAAGGAAGTATTAGTCTATAATTTTTTTGAAATATGTGTGACAAACTTTGTTTGGGTTAAATTTGTTTGTCTCTATTCGTGAGGACCTAGTAAATGACGTTGTTTTTCAAGAACATATGTTGCTTTTTTTGAAGTTCATGTATTACAAATAAATTTTTAAGATTATTTAAATTTTTCATGTATATTTACCAATAATTATTTCAAAATATATATGACTAATTCTACTTGAACTCAAAAATTATTAATTTATTCATCATGACCTAATAAATGATCATAAATATTAATTATACATTTCATGTGTGTGAAGAGTATTACTTTAAAAAAAATATGTGTACGCACAATCAAACATTATCTTATAAAATAAAATGGAAGATATATCTAACAAGGAGATGCATGTGACATTTAAAGGGAAACTTAATGAGATCGCATTTATATATATTTGATACACAGTTTGTGCATTGGGAAAGTTTGACTAATATTGAATAGTTATGACTTGTCATTGTCAATATTGCGGTGGAATGAATATTATCTCTTATTTTTAATTAAAAATTTTTAATTTGAGTTTCGAGAGTACAAAATCAAGGCACTTTCTCCTTTAATGAATCTTACTTGGAGTGAATCGATATTAATCAGGTCACAAAATTAAATATTAAATACCATATGGAAATAGAGCAGAGCTAGAAGCACGGATATTGATTAGTCGAATTAATAGATTTTGATCAAATATTTTTATATTTTAAAAAAACTTATTAAATATATACAAACATTAAATTTAGAATCCAATTATAACACTTCATATCATATTCTAAAATTCAATTGTTAAAATTCTGGTTTTTGTCCCAAGAAAAAAAAAACAAAAAAAAACCTCTTTTTGTCTCAATTTATATGACATTTCATTTTTCGACAGTCAAACAGTTTAAGTTTAACTAGAAATTTGCGTATGAAATCTTTAATTTTTCTGAAATAAAATTTATATATTTGTAAACTACATAAAAATACTATTAATCATAATAATTGATAATTCAAAATATATAAAAAAAAAATTACAATAAAAAAAGAGACTTATTTGAATTTTAAAATCCAAAATGTGTCATATAAATTAAAACGAAGAGTAGTTGTTACTTGTCAGTTGTCACCATGGGGCAGGTTCACACTATGACTGGTAGCTTTTATGCCACTATATTCATCTCAACAACCCTCAAATGACCTAATGAAAGAATGAGAAAATTTGGCAAAAGACAAAGTAGAGGCAGTTACGATTTCAACAAAACTCAATAATTTTGATCTAAATTTTGTATTTGTGTTAAAAAAATTATTTTACATATAAATAATCTTATTCTGATCCAATAATATGTTTTGTTCTAAAATTCATAACTGATAAAATCTTCGATTCGCCTCTGCTACTCACTGGTACTTTTGTATGATTGCATAAAATACAATGAAATGGTCAATAATTTTGGGATCCAGTCATAGACAAGAAAAACAATTATAACAACAATTACGGTCGTCAATCTGAAAAAGCCAAAAAGGTACACAAACTTTTCATTTTATGAAGGTAGAAAACTGTTTCAGAAAAACCCTCAAGCTCAATTAAATAGATAAGAAAAGCTTTGAACAAGCCAATACCTAAATGCTATATGTACATTAATAAATTAAGGAGCCAAGGGGAGGAACAAAAAACCAATTGGTGAACTCCATCATTTTGGTATTTTGAATGTTTATTGCCTTCAAATTGAGCTAGCTAGGATTATTGTGCATTCGAGTCCAAGTTCAAGAGACCGGGCAAGGAATTCTGTTGATGGAGAGGCCATGGATCGCGTTCAGGAGGACAGGGTACGGGAGCAGGATTGGCTAGAAAAGTAGGGACATCTTCTCCTGGCATCAACACTGAAACTTCTCGAGCCTTCGTTGACACCTAAAGCCATAAGCCAAGTCACATCATCAGCTAATCAACAATCACATTGTTAATAAATCTTTCAAGAAACTAATGAAATACAAACCAAGCAAGCCAGACTTGATCATGTCATGTAACAGAATTAGTAGTAGTACTGAAGCAACCATCTTTCTGGATTGTAAAACATCGAGTTGATTAGATGTCGAAACAACAAATCATAGCTAGACAAAAATTAGAGGTCATCTTGTTTTATTTAGCACACAAATGTAGGACAATAGTATTGGTAGTCTGACCCCGTCAACAGCAACATATCCAATGTGATCCTACAAGTGGAGTCTGGAGAGAATAGAGTATATGCAGACCTTACTCCTACCTATTGTGGTAGAGAAGTTGTTTTCAATAGACCCTTGGCTCAAGAAAGACATTAGGCTGAACCCGTTAACAAGTTTTATATATATATACATATTTATTTTTTCCTGTACACCTAGTACAAATACACAACGCAAAGGAAATCCAATCAAACCCCGTTCACCGTTCACCATATACTGCCTCTGCCATATCTTCAGAATTGGTACATGGTATATGACTGATGACACTTTGCTTCCCCCTCCTCTAAGGGCATTGGTTTAGTATTAAGAGTGCATCTCATGATGTGTGAGTTAAGGGCACATCACGAGTTTCAATCAGACTAATTAAAGCATACTACTTGAGTAGGGAAGGATAAAGGGATGAACACTGAGAAATGTGCTAGTTATGCCAGAATAAGGATCTTATTCTTCCATCATATCCTATCTATAGCCAAGTTTGTATTGATTCCAAGGATTTGTAAGTCTTTCGAGACAAACTTTCCTCTATCTAAGTCAGGTAATACTCCACATCCTTATAACAACAAACCATAACTTCTCTCATTGTATCCTCAAGATGCGCGACATGCACTTTTTGATGAATGTGGTCATTTTCAATCTTATCTAGTCTTGAATGACTGCAAATCCATGTTAGATTCCGCATTTTTCACAATACTAATCTTATGGAAATGATATTGGGAGACCGGGGAAGAATCCAATAGTTATTATTGGTAGCTCTAGGGTGCAATCGAAGCCTGTAGCCTGTAGGCGGTAGAAACACAATCAGAGACAACACTGGTGATTACTCAAATAGTTCACACAAACAACCACCGGGGTTCATGTAACCACAACAGACATCCTGGATGGTCAGGAAAAACTTTGGAAGCAAGAGATAAATTGAACTATGTGAAGAATACACCTAAGAAAATCTGCAGTTTGAGAAGACTCATCTGTTTACTTATATGTGTGGTGTAAAGCACAAAATGAAACAAGAGATCGGTCATATCGGGTGAGGGCATTCTTCCATTGCAGAGCTTAAAGAAGGGGCCTCTTTCGATAGAGCTAAAGCAGCCATTCATTAATCCACCCTCGACATACTAAGTAAAGCATTCCCGTATAAAAGAAAGGCTACTGACTTGGCTGATTCAACAACGGAAAAAGGCATCCGTTCAAATTGCTCTCATTTCTATATTGAAACCAAGAGAAACAAACGTCGTTGGACCCTTCCACTCTATCTGTTCCTTTTTCATTATCATAAACGTTCCTAGATTGTTGTTTTACTATGAAGATATGGAAGAGAGATTGTCTGTGCAAACTCGACATTTAAGCAACAAAGACTAATTAATATCATGTTTACACTGATCGGATTTTAAAAAGTCCTTCACCCCTTATCTTCTCATCTATATTCTTTATCTTCTGATCAGATTAACTGCCTTCTTTCAAGCCCTACTTGAAAGGCTTGCTTTCTTTATTAAGAGTTCTTTAAGAAGCTAAGCTTCTTGAGATAGTAAGATTCACTTTAACTTCATATATACCTCTAAGTGTTCGTGAGTCGTGACTATCCGATGATAGTCACTTCACCTTCCTTTTAGGCTGAAAAGGAATGCAAACTCGACATTTAAGCCGAATCCCTTGAGTGCTTAGGCGGTGCATAGCAGCCGGTTCTAATTGCATTCACCAAGATAGTCTTGCTCACTCGACGAAACAAAAAGTTTCAGCAATGTTGAACTTCTTGAAGTTAGTAAATTGCAGTTTTTTTTAATGTAAGATACTGCTGCAGAACTACTTTGTTACTACTTAGCTTCAGTGTCCTGACTGTGTTTAGATTAGCTGTGTTATAGATACTAGAAAAGCCCTGACTCAGGGGAAAAGCTAGAGCTTCGCCTACAGGTTCGGTAAAACCTAGTATCCCACAAATGGGGTCTAGGTTTGGTTGAGTGTACGCAAATCTTACTCTTACCTTGGGAGGTAGAGAGGTTGTTTTTGATAGACCCACCCCCAGCTCAAGGAAAAGCAATTCAAAGCAGTTCGGAAAAAGATCATGACACAGTTCGGAAAAAGCAATATGAAAAAAAGGAGCATCAACTACAACAAAATATGCTACGATAACCGAGGTACAAGAAACAACAGATAGTAACAAAAATCGAAAGACAAGAAACAACAAGAGTAATACTACGACTAACTAAATTTCTATTCCTACCTTTCTGCATTTGTATTTAAAAATCGATTCAATGTATAAACAATTTATCAAGAAACCAATATTCTTTCATTTTCTAGAATCCAAAACTCATAAACTCGAAATCCTAACTCTGCCTTTGAGCTAACTGTGATTATTTACTTGTTGATTAACAATTACAAGGACACAGATACAACATATATATTAATTACCAATTACCCTCATAAAACAACTTTTTAGACCAAAAATTCAAGCTAAAGACACTTACTTTAGGTGTTTGATGACCAAGTTTTCCATAGAAGCTCATCTGGGATTCAATGTCACCAAGATTCCGGCCACGGGACGTCGATAAAGCTGGTGAATTGGGCCTGAGAAACCTCTCAAAAATAGCCATGACAAGGAACATAGAAATAAGAATGGCAGTGGCAACAAAACCAAAAGAAACAGCATTAACAGAATTGTCAAAATGTGTCCAATGATCATCTTTTGTTGTGTACATTGGTGATCCACTTGGTGATGGTGGCCAGCCCCACCCCTCCACTTCTCCCATTCTTTTGTTATACCAAAATCAAGAACCCCAAAAAAGGTCAAAAGCCGATCAAAATCATGTCTTTTTTCACTCTTGTTTTTTTTCAAGAATTTGGGAAGACAGTAAAGGTATTACAATTGCCAAAACAAGAACTAAAAATGTTAAATAACAACCAAGATCATGTCTTTTTTGGTGGAAGCCTTATACTTAGCTCGGATTGTCAACTAGACCCTTCTACTACACGAAGCTTCAACCAGACACTTAAACTCGAACAAAATAGGAAGACAGTTGATGGTAATTTTTTGAGATTTTCAAGATTTTGACACCATTTATAACCAAGAACTTAAAATGTCAAAAACAAACCAAAATCATGTCTTCTTTTTTTCCAAGAAACCAAGAAATTGGGAAGATAGTTATGGTATTATAATTACCAAACCAAAAACTAAAAATGTTTAAAAAAACAACCAAGATCAAGTCTTTTTAACTCCTTTTTTCAAGAAATTAATAAATTGAGAGGGAGGTTGTGGTTGTTTTATCAGCTTTTCAAAATCCAAAATGAAGCACTAAAAGAGTGAAAAACCAACAAAAATTATATCCACTTTTTTTCCAAGAACTTGGGAAGACACTTGATGGTAGTTTTATAATCTTTTCTAGATTTTGACACCATTTAACCAAGAACTTAAAATGTCAACCAAGATCATGTCTTTTTAACTCTTTTCTTTTTTTCAAGAAGCTCAGGACATTGGAAACACAATTATTGTAGTTTTATGAGCTTTTCAAGATTTTGACACCACTATATAAAAGGAACAAAGTACTAGACACTAGTCAAGACATGAAGGAGAAAGAAATGAAGGAAAAAAAACATGAGGGGTTGGGTTTTTTTTCACTTTATATAGACAGAGGTGACATGAATTTTCTTGAAAAAGAAAAGATAACTTTGGGATTTGAAAGCAGAGAAATTTGAGCTGAAATTAGCTTAACCCTGTGAAGACTCTGGTGCACTGCAGCAGCCAAGTCTAAAGATTGTCCTTTTCCTTAGCTCTTTTCTATTGGTGGAATAAGGCACTAGTAGTCCTAGTCGATCATCGAAATTCCAAAAACACATTTTAGCTAAGCTAAAGTCTTATCATCTCTCCGAGCATTTTTTTTTTTGTAATTTTATATGCCCTTTTGACTTACATGGCATCCAAACATCTCCCACGCGCCTCAACTACGTGGAGTCACGGAGTGTGCCACGTAAGTCAGAAGGCGTATAAAATTACAAAAAAAAAAGAGTTCAAAGGGGTAATAAGACCTTAGTTTAGTTAAAATGCGTCTCTGAAATTTTGTCATAGTCTAGGGGTACTTGTGTCTTACCCCTATATTTGTTCTTGATAAAGTTGAATAAGTAAACATACGAGTTCTACGTGGTATAATACAAATTAATTCGAGTGTATCTCATGTGAATTGACACGTAGGATGCCATGTAGGATGCATGTTAATACTTGTTCGACTTTATACAAGTTTAAGTATCTACTTGTGTATACCTAAATTGAAAGACATACATGTCAGCTTAGGTCAAGTTAAATAAAGGACTCGTTTATAAATATGCCCAAAAAAATAGTGATTACTTTGACGTTATCCTATAACGTCGAGGTATTACGATTTTCATGCCACCTCAACTTCGTGTACGAATGAAGGACAAGAGTGTATACGCAAGCTCTATATTTTTCGCCAGCTTTACCTCTAGTAACCCATTGAAGAAGCCACATTGGAATTACTTTTGCATACCAAAATTGAAGGACGTAGATGACAACTTAAATCAAGTTAAAGAGGTCGTTTATAAATTATGTCAAAAAAAAGATAGTGATTACTTTGACATTAACCTATAACACCAAGATATTACGATTTTCATGTCACCTCAACTTCATGGACGAACGAAGGGCAAAAGCGTACCACGCACGCTCTATGCTTAGCTTTACCTCTAGTAACCCATTGAACAAGCCACATTGGAATTACTTTTTTCTTTTTATCTTTGCAAATTGCAAATGATAGGAACACAAGTGATGGCATATTGGCATGGGGCCAATGGGCCCTTAGAATAGGGCCCATTAGTTCACTTTTTTCAAATCAAAGTTCATCACACATGGCCCAGCCCAATAACACTTGTGCTTTTGTCCAACTTTGAATAGCCTCCTCTTCTTGGTCACTATTTTTGCAAATTAATTTGAAAAGACTTTTGAATTTTTCAAAATGAACTAAGTATATAATTCTAAAAACTTCTTTTTGACAATCTAGATCTATTATCATTAAAAAATACACACTCCAAATTAAATTTATTCTTCTTAAATCTATTTATAAAATGTGATTTTTCAATATAAGAGTGTTAGTTCATCTCCTTGTACAATGAAAATTACACTCACACTTATTATATGAAGAAAAAAAATCTTATAAATATCACTATACTGTAACTTTTTAACCTTATCTATAAGGAGAGGCTCGTACAACGTAAAAATCTATTTACATCGAGTACTTTTATTAAATTATACTATATAGTGGAGTGTGTATACATACATAAAATATATATTTATTAATTTGATATAAATATTCAATTTATTTGGAAAAATATAAGTGAGCTGTTTTTTTCCTTCTTATTATTATCTATACATACATTTATTTTAGAGAAAAAGACATGTTAGTGGTCCCTTATATATTGTGCAATCAAAAAGCTAAACTTTGGTCCCCTTACGTATACACCTTTCAATAAATTCTTCCTTAAAAATTACTCCCTCCGTATTAAATTATTTATCATATGTTTTTGTAAAAAAAATTTCAAAAACTTAATTGAGAATTTTTTTTTTCTTGTTATAAATATAATTTTATTCATCAAATATTTATTCTACTAAAGTATTTGTATTTATCAACCACAGTTACTGCTAAAAAGAAATATTTAATTCTATCTTAAACTTTTGAAATGATAAATAATTTTAAAATCACAAAGATAATTTGAAGTAATCGTAGAACAAAAATAGGCAGTAGCAAACTGTGGATTTACAAAAAAAAAATAATCAAAAACCAAAATCTCTCTCACTGGTCCCACAAGCCTCTTCATGACACGTGTCAATAAATGTCCTCCAGCTCATTATTATCCACGTGGCATGAGTTGGTTTTGTCTGGCTTAACATATTATTCAAATTAATAAATAATATAATGCATGCATTTTAAATTAAATAGTATGCTTGTCGTTTGGTTGGTTGCATTACTATAACGACATTTGAACTATTTTTTCAATTCACAAAAAGTATTTAATAAATTATTCATAAAGGGATTGAGACTTAAAAGTGATGATGGAGTCCAATCAATTTTGGTTTGAATGTATGTAAATTATATCTTTACCTCATGAGGATTGAAAGCTTATTTTCGAAAGATTTTTAACTCAAGTATATCAAATTAACATACGTAGTTTTGAAAAAGAACAATAACAAAATAATGTAATCTGAAGCACAATAGATGAACAGCTATCAAAAGTAAGAAACTATATGAATAAGGCTAATATTGCGACAAACATTATGCTCCACACTCTCACCAAGCCTAATTCTATTGAAAAGCGAGACAACCCTTAATACCCTACCAACCTTCTACTCTAATTTGTAATCTTCATACTCTTCAGCTATCTAAGATTGTATTCTCAATTTACGTCATGTCTTATTTTATCAACTCTCCCCAATATTATTCTGGTTCACCATTATCTCTCTTCTCACGCCTACTATATGCAACCTCTTACACCTTAATTAATTATTAAATAATTACTATAAACAAGGTAAATTATACTGCTTATGTTTCATATTAGTTGATCATTTTCTTTTTTTACACGCATATTAAGAAATCATAAATAAGAAGATAATTTTATTAATTCACCCCTAGAAACTTCTTGAAATTTTTACAAGCAAATGTGAATACTTTCAAAAAGAATTAATTGAAAGAATAATATAAAAAATTAATTAAATTAATCCTTTCTTGATTTAGTAAAATAGACAATTAGTATGAAACAACTATTTTTATTATAATAATCAACTATTATGAAACAAAGAAACTGGGACGTATAATTTAGGTATGGATAATTGATAATTTCCTAATACTTCCTCTGTCCATTTTTAATTGTCATATTGCCTTTTTCAAAAGTTAATTTGGCTAATTTTCCAATTTAAATTAGATTACATTAATTTGATATTTTAAAGAAAAATTTTAGATATTCAAAAAATATAAATTCTATTTTTTGTATATCAATATAATGAAAAAATACATCGTAAAATATTAATTAAAACTATTATCGTTTGACACTAAATAAGAAAAGTATAACAATTAAAAATGGACTGAGTAATACTCATATATGTCATCTCTTACCCTACTACCCGACATGTCATCTTATTGTCGGATTTCCCAGGTTTAAGGGACACACAAATCTCAACATATCGACGGCTACGATTACTTACAGTACTTTTTGTCGTACGATCTCCACCGTTAGATCATCTTGGTCCACGAGTCAATTCAACGACACAATTTAAGTTAAAAAAAAACACACAAACGCGCATGCAAAATGAACAGTCAATTACGCACGTGAGATCGCGTGCGTTGCGTGTGAAATTCAATGGTTTTTTTAAGGTTTTCGTCTATACGCGTAAATACACTTATTATGTGCATGATTATAGTGGTGGATATCTTTTCATCGTCCGTTTCTATTTACGTTTTGTCTTTACTAAAAATATATATATATATTTTTTATTTTTCTATTATATTAAAAATAATTATCTAACAATACTTATTCAGTTTGAAAAATCAAGAAATAACAGACCTCTTAGTTGAAATTCTAGTTTTGTTGCTAAGCATGAATATAGTGTATTCTACTATAAAGATGAGCAGGGGAGGATCTATATGTTTGTGTGGGGGTGCCACGGCACCCAGCGATCTCAGTTAAAACTTTGTATATATATGTGTATATGTATAAGAAATTGATATAAATTAAATTTGCCACCCATTGAATAAAATGGTGATAGGTGCCGTTGGCAAAAGAAACAGAATTCCACACCCGCAAGGCGGATTCGATTCTCGCTCTCAACAT